TGCTTGTATAAATAAATAAATAAATAAATAAATAAATAAATAAATAGTTAAAAAAAGAATAAATAATAGAAGGAAACCTTAAGAAAGTTTGTGTCAATATTTCAAGAAAAATAAACTTTACTGTTCAAAATCCAAATAAGATACATGATTCCACTTCTTAACGGATATTGTAAAATCATGGTGTCTGCCTGAAAAAATGCCATTCGCTAGTCTTGATAATGAAGACACAAAGCAGAAAGAGGAAAAGGTAAACACAGGCTACCTACAAATATGCTGGACTCAATGATAAAATGAACTTAAAACAATTTCACACCTGAGCAGCTTCAAAGGCACAAGCATGTAAGGGGCTCTATAGACACAGAGCTTCCAGCACACCCCAAAACACAGATAGCAATATTCTGAGTGTGGTTATGGAATATTTACTGTAGGATAGTTTTGAGGTTTTTTTTAAAGATTTATTTATTTATATATACAAGAACTGGGGTACAGGCCAGAGTTGTGGGGGGTGAGAGGATTCACCAGAGACAGAGTAGGGGAACAAACAGGCAGATTGACTGAAATACACTTCTGAGGGGAGCAGCAGGCGAGTCAGGAGAGGTCTGCTGCACCATATGGGTAGCTCTCTGGCCAGGGATCAAACTCATGCTGCAGTGTCTGCGGCGAGCTTCATAGGTTGTGTGTTAACTCATTGAGCCACCAGGGAGGCCCAGTAGGAGAGTTTTTTAATGTGTTTTGTTTGCGTTTGCTTTTAAGTAGTAGAATAAATGACCCAAAGGGGGTGTGCCTACAGGGAGGGACAGTTAACACTTGACTGGAGGGCACTAAGAGATGTTCTGAGAGAATAAACCTGCAGACACTCAATACACCCAGAAGAATATCTATTCTAGTAAAATCTGGATTGGTCCAGAACTCATGGAGTGCCATTCCCACACACAACTCTGCCTCCTTCCCTAGCCCCTCAAACCACGGAGAACTGGGGCCTTCTCCACTGAAAAATCTGGAAACAAAAGATGATCTTTCATCCTGATTAAGAAATAGTGAGAGAAGTGAAGGTGGCCATAAGAAGCCTTTCAGAGACTGTATTATCTTTCACTATTAACTGTGCTCTAGGATGAGCTTTTTGTGACCTTTAAAGGTAAAAAGCATCATTTTTATTTTATTGTTAAGATGCATCTGTCTTAGACTTTCCTGTTTAGCTGGACATTACTGCCACAGCTCTCTGTTCTAGTCAGGGAAGGAGTTTTTCATCTATATCACCTAAACTGAGTCCACAATTTTAAGGAACGAAGCATTAATTCTCTCTTAGTTTTGCCAAGACAAGTATATGCAGCTTATGAAACAGTATTTGCTCTCCTGGATTTCGAGTGCAACTATAAACTTTCAACACCGTTGCTGCATTAGGGCAATAGAGGGTGCCCTTGGAAGGTGAGAGGGGGGTCTGAAGAAGAACTGCAGTATTATCCATAATAGACACAAGAACAGAAAAGGAGAGCAGAAAGGAGATGTAATAAAGTAGGAAATATTTTGATTCAGAACAACTCATAAAGGGGAGTTAGAACAAGGCAGAGAATGTAGATCAGTCGTAGATCAGTTTGGGAAAGTCCACCTTAGAGCAGCAAATGTAATGATATGAGTTTCAATTTAAGATATTAACATAGAGAGACATACACTACATAGACTCTTAGAGCTCAATCTATACTATCATTTTTAGAAACAAATGAGGCATAGAACCACTAAAGCACACTTCAACATATTAAGAAAGAATTGTGTAGGGAGAAAGGCCCCCACTGGGGAGCCATGAAGGTAAGTTTATACTAATCTATTTAATGAAAATAATTCATTTTTTCCATACTCCTTGCCATGTCTTTTTTTTTTAAGATTTATTTATTCATGCATACAAGAACTTGGGTACAGGCCAGAGGTGTCAGGGTGAGAGGATTCCCCAGAGACAGAGCAGGGAACAGAACAGACAGATTGACTGAAATACACTGCTGAGGAGAGCAGCAGGCGAGATAGGAGAGGTCTGCTGCGCCATGTGGGTCACCTCCCTGGCCAGGGATCAAACTTGTAGTGGCTATAGATAGCTTCATAAGTTGTGTCTTAACCCCTTGTGCCATCAGGGAGGCCCTCCTTGCCATATTCTTCACATATTCTGACATTAGAATATGTAAAATTATAAACTAAAATATTGAAAACATGTAATATTCTACCTGAATATTACTTTCTTGTACAAATGAACACGTTCTGGTATACTCCAGGAAACTGGCTGCATGGCAATCCTGCTAAATTTGTTCTTAACATTTTTCTTCTACTTAGTTGTGCAGTCATGCAAAGGGAAGTGTGTATTAAAAGTCTTTTCATTCATCATTTACTTGCTTATTAATTTATTGGGAAATTAAATTTTGTTTTCATAACAATTCTTCATGTGGAAATACTGGCTTATAGAACCCGACCTCCAGAAATTGATGTTTCTTCTTTATGAGCAAATAAACTGTTGCCTTACACAAGAAAGCAGTAATGAAGGAGTCTGGTTCAACAAGATTTCTAAAATAGGAGAATTCATTCTATACACATGGGCAGATTTTGAAATATTTAAATGTTTTAAAGACTGAATACTAAAATCATATTTACTTTAGAAAATCCAAACTTCTACTAATGATGTCAAAGATATTTTAGGATGCTACAGTGCTATCATCAAAAATATCAGTCTTCACTATAGCATGTATATTTTGACATATTGGTTATAATGTTTGAGTCAATGAAATGTGAGAGAAACTAGCTTTTATTCTACTACTCTGCCAAGTAAGAACTCATAGACTAAGCATGGATACAATTTTGCAAGGCCTACAAAAATTTTAACATGCTTAATTAGAGAAATTGTGACTTGGACCCTTTAGTTCTTAGTCAAATAAAAACAAACCTAGACATACCAAAATTTCTTTTAATAAAATGCTAAAATTAAGGATGATTAAATGCCAAATGGCATGGATAACCATTTGCATAAACACAATTAAGCAAGAGATTTCATAGTTTCTTTACTCTTGAAAACAAAAACCTGCCTTACCTGATCCAATTTACATTTTAAAAAATCAGATGATACAGAATTCTAGGTCAATTTAGTGAATCAATAAATTTCAACTAATTTCCATCGACATCTGAATTTTGTATAGTACATGTATGAATTTTTTTTGCTGCTATAAAGAATTACCATAAACAAAATTATCTCTCTATGCTAAAATGAAGGTTTGTAGGGCTGCATTCCTTTCTGGAGGTTCCTTGCCTTTTCCAGATCCTAGAGGCTGCCTGTACTCCAGGCATATGCCCCCATCCTTCGTCTTCCTGTAAACTAATATATTCCCCTGTGGGGGTCAGAATGTGGGCATCTTTGTCTGGTCCTTCTGCTCACTGCAGTGCATCAAACTTAGAGCTAAATCTGCAGTATTCAAATCAAGTAATATTCACAGAGCAAATTAAAATTCTCTAATAAGATAGTAATAACAATAACAATACTACTATTAAGAGGAATAAACATATAAAAGGAACAAAGTTTTTAAACTTTGATCAGGTTACCACATCGCTCAATAAAAGCATGTCAAATTTCCAGCCTCTAACTTATTTTCAATCAATTTTGCTCAAGTTAGACACCGATTGCTTTGCTATTTTATCCTTAAATTAATCACAACTCAGCATACTGATTGTACACTGATAAAAAGCATTAAATTCTCTTAAGACAATGTAACATATATTGCTTATTACATTTGTTATGGAAATTTTCTTTACCCTGAGGACAATAGTCAGATTACAACAAAACTTTCATAAGGAAATACTGTCTCACAAACATGGAGTTCACACACAATTTTTTCACCAAGAGAGACACTGGCATGGATTGTGGAGAGCCACATGCTATTTTAGAAAGGATACAACGGGGCATCCCTGCTGGCACAAGGGGTTAAGCACAGCACTGTGATGCTTTCCACAGCCTCTGCAGCATGAGTTCCATCCTGACCAGCCAGGGAGCTACCCACATGGCACAGCAGACCTCTCCTGTCTTACCCGCTGCTTCCCTCAGCAGGTAGTTCAGTAGATCTGCCTGTTCTGTTCCCCACTCTGTCTCTGTTGAATCTTCTCATCCCCCCACACCTCTGGCCTGCATCCAAGTTCTTGTATGCATAAATAAAATAAATCTCAACAACAACAAAAAAAAGAAACCTACTGATTCTCAAAAAATATGTTAAAAAAAACAGAGGCTTCCCCTGACACCAGGAGTGCATTATTCTTGAAATCATGACAATCTCACCTTACACATAAGTAGAGTCAACTACAGTTCTCATCACATTATCACCCTGTGGATCAACACCTTTATCAATTCCCATCCCGATGGTTACAAAGTTTTATTTTATCATTCTGTCCTATGATGACACAGAGACTAATCCAAGATCACATTGTACTCAGATCAGTGTAAATTACAAGATTTATAAAATGTACATCACAAGAAGACACGGCTTACAAAAAGGAGGGGCCAGCAAGTTGACAAGATGAAGGACTTTGAGCTAAATGAACGTTGCAGATAATTTGTGTAAACCAAAGAAAATCTTGAAAGTATTTAACTTTCCCATGATAAAACACTTTCTTCTGGCATATGAGAACTGGGTAAGTATTTTCTAAGTGGATTTTCTGGGAAAAATAAAAGGGTGTTAGAATCAATGCCTTAGAGAGACACCATTACCTTAAGAGGATTCAGAAATTTTGTCATTTTGCCCAGGCATTTTTATCTCTGATTTAAAAAAAAAAATATCAGCTCAACAAACCTATAGACCTAGGTAATAAATTACAACTATCACTCTGGGTTTTAAACTAATTTCTTTCCAATATTAAATTTATGTAGTTTCCTTTGGATAATAGGACTGAATTCCTTTATTAAAAGTTATGGGGGAAAGCCTCAAGTTATCAACATAACTTTATTTTCTTGATATCATAAAGGAGAATTAAAATCAACTTACTTGATGTAATAGGGCACTTTATTATGTGAAATGGATCTTTGCCAAGGCAGCTGGACCGAAGCTGAGGAAACAAAAGGCGGTTATTGGGAACACTGCTAACCCCACAGCCTTAGGCCTGACGGCACAGCAAGTGAACACACTTCAGAGCAAATTCCAAGTTCTGGCTTTTGAGCTGGATTCCTATAATTATGAAATCTGCGAGGCCAAACAAAGAATGGCTTTAAAGAAACATTTGAAACAAGAAACAACACTGGACAATTTCTAATGTCAACTCTACTAATTGAACCAATTGATAAAAATGCTTTAAAATCAAATTTTATAGTTCATAATCACCATAATTTAAAGCTTAGTGCTATCTGGAAACCGTACTCTATAGATTTTCAATTAAGCTAAAATAAAAATTAATTTTGACCGGTATATCCAGATTATAAACTAGATTTCTCAAAACTTTATTTTTCATTATCAGTAAGAACATTCTTTACTTTATTTCACAGTCACAGGAATAAACTATTTCATACAGATGGCTTTTAGAAAAATTCAATTAAATGAAGTTAAAAAAAGGGGAATTAAAATAAACATAGGCAAAAATTTGTAAAGAACCAAGGCAATTATATGGACAGAAGAATGCCAAATGTTTTCATATGAAATGAGTAAAAAATAGTTTCCTGCTTTTACTCTCAGGGATCACTATGACTGAGATTTTATGTTTTATGTGGAACTTATTTTTAACAATTCCAGTTACTCCTTATTTATAAAAGTATATTATTCCTACATTAAACCAATTATTTTAACTCTTATTTAAGAAGAGTATATATGTGAATCTAGAGCTATTAAGGAATTTTGCTAAGGGAACTAATAACAAATTCAAATAAAACTTTACAGTTATCACCAATGTTTTTTTTTCTGAATTTTTGGTCTTTTTACACCTTACAAATATATAGCATTCTACAGTCTGCGGAACACTTTCAATATATCTATTTATAATAATAAGGAAACTAGTAAGATTCACATTAAATAAAATTCCATAGGATAGATGAGGAATTAAATACTCAAAGGTGAAATTAAATTGTCCAATGAGTGACAGTAAATAAACGGCAGAACTCAGAAGCGACCTCAAGAGTCAAAGATACAAGAATACCCAACAATTCTTTTCATAAAATGTGGGCACGCTGAGCACTGCACTTTTAGTTCCATCCACAGAAGTATAAAATGGGGATCAAAACAGGAACCAGGTATATTAAATTTCACATTAACAGCCAATCTCATTTCAGTGTTGGTACCAGGCCAACACTTTTGGTCAGTTTTTATTTTGTGCCTAACTAAACAGGCTGCTTTTAGAACCATTGCTGAAGTACAAAAAATATAGTAAAGTCAGAGACTCCCAGTTCCAAGGGAAAACAATTATTAAGTTTATTAATTGGGATTTTGCTTACAAGTCATCATTCATTTTGGCAATTCTCTAGCTTTGAATACTCTGACATCCTGCACTGTCGTTGTTAGACAATAAAAGGCTATGTGCTTCAGTTTCGCCAAGTGTGTTTGAACTTTACAATGCTTCATTTCCTAAGGAACATTGATTTTGAGTTTTACTATGGAAGATGGCTGCTAGGTGCGAGTGCAAGCTCCCATCAGTACTAACAGATAACTAATCTGACAGAACTGTTAGAGTCTCAATTATCAGCTAAAGACCTCCTTAATTTGGTTTTAAAACATAGCTTCATATTCTGTAAAATGAAGTTTAAGAACTGGAGTAAGTCACACTTGATAAGTATACTACAAACCTAATTACCTTGTTAATAGGATGGTATCAAACTTAGAAAGGGGGTAAGAAAGGCAGTTAAGGGAGAGAGAAAGAGACAAGGGGGAAGAGTTAGGAGGAAACGTAAAGGAGGAACAGAGGAGAAAGGGAAAGCAATGAAGGGAGAGAGAGAGAACTGAGCACTGAAGACATACAGGAGATGACGGATTACTTTTCTAGAAATTGTAACAGGAAAAAAAGCCTACCCTTGAATTAAGGTAAAAAAGATGATCATTCTTGACAGAAGAACAGAGAAAATATCACTATAATGAACCTGTTGGAAGACATGGTTTTAATTCAGTTTTAACCTACTTTTTTTTCTATGATGATAGATACAAAGAAGTCATCATAATTGAGAAATTAGCTTTACCTTAAGTTTTAAACTTCACTTAAATTGAATTAAACAAATGGCTTTTTTTACATATGTTTGCCAAAAAAAATAAAAGGAAATAAATTAAGGATTTGTGGCAAAAGTTGAGTTAGTTGCCTAAGATTTTGATGTTTTTTCATTTAATTTTCCAAGCAATTAGAGGAAATAAGTGTTACTACAGTATATTTAAAATAAATAAATTATTTGTTAGGGATTAACAAGTGTGGTAAAAAGTAGAATTACTATTTTAATCTCAATCTGGGTGACTATGAATCTTACATTCTTTCATTTCTTCAGCTGTATGAACTCAATTTATTCAATATCTCATGAACAGTCCATAAAATTAAAATGTTCAGGTGGAGAATATCACATAAAAATCTAATATGAGGTTTGGCTAAATTGCAACACTTGGCCAGAATAAAAGCTAAGTATGATGACAGAGTGTCTAAAAACCAAGATTCTTTCATTTAATGATTTGTGGGAATTTTTTTTTCTTGTAGGTGCATTAAAACTAATAATCACTTTTAAGTGGAAAAATTAATTTAAAATCTTTGCATACAAAAAACGATTTTACAAAAATGATTTATTGTGCAAAAGTCTTTGCCTATGATACAGCAATGATAACATTCTGTACTGGTTATCAGAGCAGATGACTTAGTGAAAAATCACAGCTAAAGACAGATTCACTTTTTGCTCGACTTCAAAGATTTATAATTGTGACCAGATAAATACATATAATAACCAATAAACAATATTGTCATTAATGTTAATACTCCCCTTTCCACTTTTTTCTAATAAAAATAAATATATCAATACCAAAGAAGATGACTTCTTGAGTGAATGAATATGCTGGTTCATCCAGTTAATGAGATCAGTCAAGTTTATTGGTACTTACTAGAAAGAAAATGCTGAGAGGATGGTCCAAAATCTCTATGGGCTTCCTGAAGCTGTTTAAGGCGATCGTCCACAGATACCTGTACATACACACACACAAGACATTAATCTCAAAGCAATGCCTTTAATAACCTGGTCCTGCTAACAACAGTTTTCTCAGCAATTTATATGTATGAATTCATCTAATTTTCGCAACAACCATGTTGGACAAGCATTATTTATTATTACCACCATTTTGGATGAGGCTCTTGACACAAAGAGGTCAAGGAACATAAAGTATATGTGGCTGGGCTGGTGCCAAAATCTATACTTAGACCACTCCTCTTGCTGCCGCAAAAGCTATAAAGAGCTGAAGCACTTAAAATCAAGATGTGGTCTTGGGATCAGTGGCTGCTCATCTCTCATTTGAAAGGAAGGAGGGAAAACGTGCTACAGAGAACAAATGAAAAAAAGTCTAAAAGACCCCAAGGGAAAAAATTAATAGATTGATGATGATAGCTAGCTAGCTAGCTAAACAGACAGACAGACAAATGAACAGCCAGATGTAAGACATATGAGTATGGACGATCTTGTTTTTCTCGAAGTTTATGACTGATCATCTTAATCTGGGGACAGTCAAGTAACAACGGCACATGGTCTACCGACATCGCTATTTGCTTTCCTAGTCTTGGTCCATGCAATGTTAGTCTGCAGTTCCGCTTAGATCACCCATCTTATTTTCCACTGCCTTTAAATGAAATTTGCACATCTCATGCTCACTGGGCAGCTCCAGTTTCTCTTGGTTAGCTATTTAAATTGCATTAGCAAGTACTTCCTTTGTTAAGGCCAAAAAGCATTCAAATGCAACACTTTATGTTCAGGATGAGAAAAGAAGCCACTCCTCCTGAAATATAACAACACTGCTACCAGCACAGATTTCCCCCCCACCCCCCACCGCCCCCCATCCCCAGCCTGTGATTCAGCCAGCAACAAACACCTGAATTGTAACAATTACCAGGCTCTGAGATAAGGATGATAGAATGCACATAGTTTTCAAAGCATAACTTTGTCCCTGACTTCTAATCTTTGGCGATGGTGACAACATAAATAGGATGGGAAGCAAATCAAAGTGGGATGCAGGAATAAGTATACAGGAAAATATGAATTGGGGAAATGGAGCAGAAGAAAAAAAAGAGCAAAGACCAAACATTGTCTTCCAGTCACTTGGAAAAGCACATATGAGTTGAATAGAGTGTGGTTCATAATCCCATGTTACTGACACTCTCTTCAAAGACAGGAGAGATTGTCTGACATGATGCACTTACTTCTTACCTTAATTTCATGAAGAAAATATGAACCATCTGTGTGTTTCAATGTCTGAATTAATTCAGGGAGCCTATTTACTATAAAATACTATAGTTTTAAAATGAAATGTTTTTCTATGCCACCTCAAAATTATATACTTATTAAACATGACATTTCAGGCACAAAATGTAGGAAGTAACTAGAAGAATTATTTTTCCCATCATCCAATCAAATCATCCTGTTGGTTTTCAGGACTATTAAGACTCCTAGGAACTGGGCACTGAATGTGACAAAGCTCCTTAAAGATCGTTTGAAAATCATTAATGCCTGTTGTAGTGGTTTGCAATGCTGACACCCAGTAATGCTTCACAGGGTTCTTCCTGGGTTGGCTTTACTAACTCTGAAACCAGCAAATAAGATCTAGTCATTAAAACAACAGCACTGGGGCAGCTAGGAAGTAAGAGCTAAGGTGAATACCACAATTGTATAAGTGCAGTAGTTGGAAAAAAATGAACAAGATACTTAAGTTCCAAGCAATTGGAAGAAGGATGAAGATGTTCTTAAATTTTCTAAGCAAATAAACACATGATTAAAGGGAGAAAAATTACCCCTTGTGAACCACTATAGGAAAAACATCTCTGTGACTTACAGGAGTTTTCATTGCTGTGATTTCTTTGATTTCTGGCAATTTTTTACAACTATCGTATGAATAGTTCAGCAAAAAATACATTCAAATCTTTATTCATAAATCAATGTAGCTTTTGGGTTTGAGATATGAAAGACAAAGTCTTGATGATGTCATATACTATATATTCATTATTAAACAGTCCATAAAGAGAAAATGGTGTGCGGCAGAATGGTGAGGAAAGGTTTAAAGACCCACTGAAGTGTCAGCCTGCACCATGGCAAGGAATAAGCACTACCTGCAAGAGTTTCCATCGCATATTGAGGTCATCCAGCTGGCGAGACATCTTCAGAGATGGGTGCAGGTCAAGTGGAGACAGCTGGCTGGATAAATCATTCACTGTTTTAACTTTTAAGTTGATTGGTGCAATTTCTTCTCTAAATGCCTAAAAAAAGGTACAAAAATGATGTCATCAGCAAAGAACAAAAGACATTATTTTGAACTTGCCTTCAAAGAAAATGTCCATGTCAGCTGAAAGACCATTGAGGACATTGCCTCATTCAAGAACAGACTTGACTCCTGTCTTTAGTGAGCAGGATCATCAGCCAAAGAGCCATCCTTTACAACCCTGAGAATCTAGCTAGGTGCATGAAGAGAAAAATTGTAAGGCAAACTTATTTGGATGATTATGCATTTCCTTCAAATTTTTCAATAAATGTAATTCAGTCTGGAAAATGTTGGCCATCGTTATCCAGTTTAATCATTTCAAATCTTGATTCTATCTTTAATTTTTGTTCATATTTCCTTCCTTCAGATGACTGCCTTAATATTTATTCACCTGGTGCAATAACTTGGACACTTTCCATTTAAAATTAAGTTAGAATTTTTAGGCCAGTAAAAACAACTTTCCTAACCACAAAACCCATGCCTATTACATCCTACAGAGGTAAGGTCTGTCACTTTCAATATCATCTACGATCACTGTCCATGGTGATAGGTGGGGCAGGAAAAGTAGGGTTTATACAAAAAAGAAGTGACTGAGACAAAATACTGCTGGCAAGAGGTAAGGGGGGGTGGGAGGGTGAGGAAATACATGTGAAGAGGGGGAAAATAAAGCAAAAAAAAAAATAGTTTGAGCCAATAACAGTAACATGTCCCACAGGAGCAATCAGAATAGTGAAAACACTGTTTTCTCCATTCTCCATGTAATTCCACCTGCATCTGTATCCATGTTCCATTTTTCAAAGCCTTTGCCTAGAACCCATTGATACTTGAAGAGTCAATTCAGGAGTCCCACCTGTTCATCTCACTTCAGGGACCATTTCCTGGAGGCCTTTCCCTCAATGGAATTGGCTGGAGGTCCCCAGGTGCTCCCCAGCATTCATTTTGCCATTTCCAGTCCAACCAAGACTTTCCACAAACACAGGTCTGGACTCACCAATCAGGATTTACAGTCAGTTCCATTTTGATTGGTGCCATACAAACCAGTTGTGGTATGTTGTAAATATCATTCTTTCTCAGAGTTTGGGATTTTATGCAACCATATTCTGGCTGTTGCTCATGTAGCATATAAACTTGAGAACAGATGCTTCCCAGCATTCAGCACAAGGTTTACAATAAAAAGGGACAGATTCATTTCTATTAACAAAGCCCTAACAACTATATTTGAGATAAGATCAAGACAACATACAACTGGGAACAGAACTGGGATGCTAGAAGAGAATAATATGTTCTTGATTCTTTAGTACGTCAAAATTAGAGTTAATCATATACCAAACTGCAATTACAGGTAATGGGTTTTGTGAACCTACTATTTTGTGAACATAATATTAACATTTTGTGAACATACTATTATTATTTTGTGAGCATATTATTTTGTGAACATGCTATTAACATCAATTTTTAGGTTTTGCCATTTCTAGAATCCTCACCCTTAAAGAGAGTAGTATATATGTATGAGCTCCCCCTTTCTTTCCCTTTTCTACTACAGCAAATTTTGTAAGAGAAATAACACATATCAAAGTAATTTGAAAAGTATGAAGTTTTATTAAAATATTGCTTCCTCCTTAGGTTTATTATAAAAAGCCTCTTCAATGGTATGGTGAAGGTGAAATTTGAACTTTTAGCAGTGTATTTAATGTAGTATGTTGATTTTCAAATGAGATGTATATAATGTTATTGTGCAATGTTACTTCAAAAAAACATTTTTAATCAAAAAGCATCTTTAACCTTCTTTCTTCTAAAACTTGTCTATTCTATACAACTCTCCCTTAAATAACATATATAGGCTAAAGATAATCAGTATGGTAGAAAAACATCAAAATCATATTAAGAATATAACTATTTTGGGCCTCCCCTGGTGGCTCAGTGGTTGAGCGCTGGGCCGCGAAGCTGCCCGTAGCCTCTGCTGCGCCCCTTCGATCCCCGGCTGCCGGGAGAGGGTCTCACATGGCGCGCAGACCTCTTCTGCCACCCGCTGCTCCCCTCAGCAGTGTACTTCGTCAGTCTGCCTGCTCTGCTCTCCGTTCTGACTCTGGTGAATTCTCTCACCCTCCTGTGCTTCTAACTGTACCCAGTGCTTTTATAAATAAATAAATAAATCTTTAAAAAAAAATCCATGAGTTTTTTTTTAAAAAAAATCAAAATTGGGTAGAAAAAGGGACAATTACAAAGACATGCAAATCACCACACAAGGGAAGGCAAAAGAGTTTAGAATTGTAATAATTTTTTCTCCATGGCTGCAGATGGTCAGTCTTCATGGATGACAGATTGTGTACATATAGACAGATGCACAAACACAGTTTAATGGGAAGAGCATTTATAAACAGAGGCGTTCCTAGTCTGGTTTTAATAATTAAGATGGAAGCATGGGACCAAGAGAAGCGTGACGTAGTGTGGGTAAAAAGGAACTGTTCAGTTTGGACTTTGAAGAGGCCTGGTTTCCTCATTTCAGTATGAGAATAACTACAGAGCTTGACTTCAAGGTGTTTAGTTGTGATTTTAACATTATACATTAATATTCTTTCCTCAGGGATGTTAGAGGATTTGAGTGTTTTAATCAGCTTTTAAAATCAATAACTTCATATTTTGGAAGTATAAAAGATTAAAGATGAAATGCTAGAAAAAGTTCACAGATTTATAGAATTTAAATAATTAGTTTTGTTTCAAAAGATGGTCCAGGCTTTTTCTTGTTTAATTATAACTTAAGTTTTTTTTTATCGTCTAGAACAAAAAGGAAGTTTTATTTTTTCCTCTTACAAGCAACAGGTGAAAACATTAAAAGAGCTTTGATGAACATGACTTTTGGACTTTGCTTTTGTTTTTGTGAACAGGTGTTTTATGGTAACAAAGAATCTTCTATTAATAAAGTTTCTTTTGTTTCCTAGGAGCTTCCAAATTAAGGGACTTGAAACGAAGCGAGTTTGAAAATGGTTTCAGATCTGCCTTGTGTTCTAGTATAAAGAACCAATTTATCATGTTTTGCTGCACTTTGCTGTGGGAGAATAAAATTCTATGTCATCTCCCTTGCTATAAAAACAGAAACATCTGCTGGAATTAAAGGTGATGACTGGCAGCCTGTTGGCAGATGCAAATCCCACACCTTTCTCCTGCCAGAAGGTATGTATTTTGCAAATAAGGATGATTAAGGGTAATTTTAGGGAATTAAAATTATTTGATTATGCTCAAAGATTTTGTTTTCTAGTTGCTCTGGCATATTTAATAATATTTATCAATAATCTGTACTTATTTTCATTTGCCTCTAGCTTCAGTAGAATTGGGGCATACGTTAGAGGAACATATAAAAACAAATCTCAGATTTTGAATCTACCTTATTTGGTTTAATGAGGCTTATGTTTTCATTTTCTTTTTCCCTAATAAGATGTTAAAAACAATTTTGTATTATTTTTTCCACAGTTATTTTTTTTTCCTCTTAAATAATAATTGTGTTTTTTGTAGGTTTCCATTTGAGCAAGATTTGAACAAAAGGATTTGCATGCAAAGGTGGGCAATCTCTTTAGTCAAATAGGATTAACAACTCCCTAACTGTTAGGCCTTTATTAACCCCAGATACGACTTTTCATTTCGTCCCAACACCATTAATCCTGTATTAAAAAACTGATACTTTCAAATACAAATAGGCAAATTCTTGCTCCAACCAAGAGGCAATTTTTGCAGTCCTAAAGAACAGACTGTCTTGAAAACTACTGACTTAAAGATTATCAATATTTAAGAACCATCAATACAAGAAGGGCTCAACCTATGCTAAAGGGATATATTTTCAGTTGGTTATTTTAAAGTTAGATGCATCATTGAAATAGTTTCGAGGACATAAGCTCTAGGAAGAAGTTTTATTTCATTCATAGACTTGCTGGAAAGTTAAGTATATTTATAATCAAATGGCAGATACCAATAACTTTTAATACAATGTGTTAAGCTTAAAATTTAATATTCAATTTTTAAAATTTTGAATACAAATAGTTGGCTAACCTTGTGCTTAATTATGTTAGTATGCAGGAGATCCCTACGATGAAAGAGAAGAGCAAGAAAGAAATCACAAAAACTCAACCACTTACCCACTGTGTGGGCTTGAGCAAAATCTGCAGCTTCATTATTTGTAAAATGGGCATAATAAAAATATTTCTCTTGTTGGGTTGGTGTAGAGATTAAAAGAGAAATCCATGTGAACTGGCTAAGAATAGTTCTTGGCATACGGTAAGCCTCAATAAATGTTAGCTATTATAATTCTGATGTCTACACAGACATAAATTTATATACATGATTGGCCTAAATATTTTTAGTCTTAGTCTTTCTTTTTTCTATTCAGTCACATGCACACAAAGGGGGAAGTGTTCCTTGCACAAAAACAAACGTCTTTCGTAATTGAAAACCTATTCATGACAGATACTGTCTGATTTTTCACAGGTTTTTCTTTGATTTTATTCATGATCACCTAGTATTTAGCTTATTATGCTAAAACAAAACTTGCCACACCATAAACTTGCTATTTGTGTCTATTACTACATAGATTTTTTTTCCTGGATATCTTCTAGAATGTGGGAATTAAAAGTGAGTATCCTATCTATCTGAGCAATTCCTGACTACAAACAGAATTTATAGCTAAATTAATGTTTCATTAATATATTCCAACAATGAGATATAATTGTGGATGAGATTTCCCAGTAAAACAGTGTGTTTTTCATCAAATCTCTGCATCTAACTATCAATTTACAGAAAATACAGAGACTAGTGAAGACTGCCAAGCTATGCCAGGTGGATATCAATCCATCCAGGCTGTGAGAAATGCTACAAAACAACCAATGTAGTGTCTTCAACAAAAATATTGCAAAGAAAACAAACACAGGATAGAGGGGAAATTATGGAAATTAAGAGGAACCTTAAAATATCTCAAAAGCAGATAAAATTAATCTATATTGTTTAGGGATTCAGAGTTACATGAAAAAATATAAAGAAAAATAACAGCAAATTATTGTAAACATGACATTCATCCTTATTCAGAGGAAGAGGTTCTGATGGTGAAAACTGGAAAACTTCTGTATCTTGATTTGGGTGGGGGTTGTAAGGGTTTGGCAATTTATACATGCGGCTCTCTGTATTTGTGTTATATTTAATCATAAATCATACACATCATTAAAAACTTGTTCAAATTCGCAGAATGCACAAGGATGAACCTTAAATCTATGAACTCTGGGTGATAATATTGTATGAATGTAGGTTCATTGATTGTAACAAGGTACCAATCTGGTGGGGGATACAGAACATGGGGGCGGCTATGCATATGTGGGGACACAGGCAATATGGGACATCTCTTTATTTTCTGCTCAATTTTGCAGTGACCCTAAAGTTGCTCTAAAAAGGAGTTCATTAGGGCCTCCCTGGTGGTTCAAGGGATTAAGCCTCAGCACTATGAAGCAATTAAAGCCACTGCTGCATGAGTTCGATCCCGGCCAGGGAGGTGACCCACATGGTGCCGCAGACCTTTCCTGTCTCGCCCACTGCTCCACTCAGCAGTATATTTCAGTGGATCCGCCTGTTCTGCTCTCCACTCTGTCTCTGGTGAATCCTTACCCCCACACCTCTGGCCTGTACCCCAGCTCTTGTCTGCATAAATAAATAAATCTTTAAAAAAAAGCAGTCAATTAAAAAAAGGCAATCAATAAATGGCAATCAATAAATGACAAATTATAAAAGGTGATCCATAAATTAAATAAAAATGGAAATAAAATGTTAAAGAATAAATAAATAAATAAATAAGAGATCTTATATGCTTTCTCTAAGGCAGTGATGCTGACCATGGTTTTTTCGATGTGATCCTGCAGTGAGTCGATGAGCAAATCCCCCACAGGCTTCCACCCATTCCTCACGGCCTCCGCTTCCTTCATATCAGCATCCAGGTCGTCCATCGCGCCCTGGAGGTCTCTGAGCTTCTCCAACGCCTTGTCCACTTGCTTTTGCCAGTTGCTAGTAACAGCATTAAGACTTTCCCACTTCTCTTTGACCTCAGAAGACTGTTTACGCATGGCTTTGGCAATCTTTTGGGCTCTCTCCTCAGGAGTCAGTTCTGTGATTTAAAAAAAAAAAAGGGAATATTTGGTTGGAGACCTGACCAGCTCTACAGTCTTTATAGTCAACTGAACGCACCACCATCCAAAGGGTGGCTACCCCAAAATCTAAACAGTGTAAAAAAAAATATTTTCCCAACTTCCTTCCCAATTCCCTGCTACTTTTCAAAAGAAGAAAATAGTTATTCAGCAATTAATAAGTGACCCAGTAGTTTGGGTTACTTTTGAATTTTAATATATTTGTAAACCTTTATATATATATATATATATATATATATATATATATGTGTGTGTGTGTGTGTGTGTGTGTGTGTGTATACATATATATATCTCAAGATAACTGAAGAAACAATTTTTCCACTTTTTTGGGAGAGATTTATTTTATTTATATACAAACTGGGGTACAGGCCAGATGCATGGGAGGGTGAGAGAATTCACCAGATTCAGAGCGGAGAGCAGAACAGGCAGATGGACAGTAAACATTGCTGAGGGGAGCAGTGGGCTAGATAGGAGAGGTCTGTCGCGCCATGTGAGTATCTCCCTGGCTGGCCGGGAATTGAACCCACACTGCAGAGACTGCGGACAGCTTCACTGCTGCACTCAACCCGCTGCACCACTGGGGAGGCCCTAAAATAAGTTTTTCTTTAACATAAATTTAGTTATGTAAAATCCCAAGACAGTGTTTCATTTAATTGTCCTCAAGAGAAATAGGGAGGATAATTAGAAGAAAAACAGCTTTAAGTTATGAGGAAATAAGAATAATTTACTGTGTTCCTTAAAAAAACCAACAAACTGAAGATAAGTAACATCTTAGATACTTCATCATTTCTGAATCTGGTGGTTCATCTTTAAGATGGGACATTTTCTACTGCCTGGAAATTGGCACCTCCTCAAACATATCTACAGGAAGACAGCAGGATTTTAAGGACTACCCTAAACAGAGAATAAGGGGGCTTCCATAATGGCTGAAATATCGTTAGACTTTCAGAATGGAAAGGAGAGGCCGAATACGAGGTCCTGCTACAAGACAGAGTTAACAAGAGATAGTAACTGTCCAGAAGGATACATCCAAAAGGATATGTCCAGAAGTAACTGTCCAAAATAAGGATACGGACAGACTTGAACGCCAATGTAAGCCATGGATCAGAAATACAGGGATGAGAAGAGGCAAGACCAGGGCAATGGTCTTGATGGACAGAGAGCAGACACTGCCCACGCAGGTTAGATGGATCTCCAGCTAAACACTGTTGGCTCTTATTCCTGGGGACCCCTCCTATCCTATGTAGCTGTTTGATGACTGTCCATGGAAACAGAAAGGCAGGAAAAAAACATCAATCAAGGTAAACTGTTGATTAAGATAGAAATGCATATTCTTCCTTGTGATAGCATCTCCATCTTTTAGTAACAATATCAATAGCAACACTCACTTTCTCTCAAATAAACATACATAAAATTTACAAAGTAAGCTCATTGAACTTTCTGGTAAGATGAACTTCAAGATAAACTGACCTATAGCATGCTCTCCTAAATAATAACTTTCACAATCAACATAAATTCGTCTTACTATCTCCCTATATTTAAGTATTGTTGAATAGTCAGCTTGAACAGCAGAACAGTTATTTTTGTCTATTTAAATTTCCAGAATATTCTAGACTTCAATATTTAGACTTAAAAGGAGTGGTTAAAAAAATCTCTGAGAAACAAATGGACTATGAAGAGTTTGGCAAACAGAACTCTCAGTTGGACTGTTGAAGTGCTGTAGAGAGACTGGAATGATCCCTTGGCAACTGAATTAATTACAACTGTTACACTAGGTAGATACAGTAAAGGATACACAAGTAAAAGATAAATAAGGAAAATAATTAGTGACCCAACTTCAAGGAATGCTTAAGCTGGGATACTGGAGTATAAGTCAGGAAAAGCATCCAAGAAGTCTGGAGAGAAGTCTAGAAGTCTGGAGAGAAGTCTAGAAGATGCAGAGTCAGGACCCCCAAATCTTGAGACGCAACCTGACTTTACTGAAATAAAGTCAGAAAGACAGGCTTTATTTAAATCCTTATGCCTTCCAGATATTATAACATGATAGATAAATTCTACAGATATTTTATATAAACATAAAATGTCATGTGTGAGATGAAAAAACTATCATTCTTAATAGCATAAGGAGAAAGGGAATTGATCATTTTTTACGATGGCAACACCTGTTTGTTTATAAATCACCTAGACTTTTTTTGAAGATATATTTGAAGCACCCGTGTTTCACTGATCTGGAAGAAAAAAAGTACAGTATACCAATTTCAGAACAGACAACTTAATTATGATGGTCTCTAGAACAGAGTGAACCTGGATCCTGAGTCAGTTGCTAAATAACCTACAGGGAGGCACAGAGGTCTCTGTCCCAAGACAACCAGGACCCTGGTAGTGATTCTCCATCTTCACTTAACATAAAATCCTTTGATTGAGCAGTCCTTTTGTAGAATTTACTATATAATCCCCACTCAAGTACTTATTCAGAAGAATAGCTCCACATTCAACAACTCACCATCTGCCTGCCAGAAAGAAACATGTACTAATCAGAGTGGGGGGGAGGGGACCTCCTACTGCAGCAACCATCTCAGTTTAATGCAGATGTTAGACCAAGCATAGCGTGCTGTGCAAAACCAAACAAACCTTCTAGAATGTTTGTGGAACAGGTAATAAGAAGCAACAAGAAATATCCAGTTGTAACAGTCTGGAGTAGGAAAACAAATCCAAACAGCAGAAAAGATCAAAAGACAAGAGAAAATAATTACATTAAAAAATCCTTTCATTATGTCAAAAACAAAGTTTGCTCTGAATGTGCTGATTGGATATTTTGTAAATTCTAGATCCTCTTCCAGGAAAGGATAATCTTCTAGACTAATAAAATTACCCTAAGGATTTGCTACTAGTTATAAAATGCTGACCCCTAGGGACCCTACCCCAAATGTTAAGCTTCTGATTTAGCTGGTCAAGGGATTATGCAAGCAGGGGCTATATCTTCAAGCTCCTCAGATGACCACAATGTGCTACCAGGATGGAGCAAAACCACCAGAGAGATTTTTCAGGTTTCTGCTGCTGAGGCTGAGTATTTCCTCTCCAGTGGGTTGTTCACTCCCAAGCAGAGGAGAGCCACTGAGTACTGAAGGCCAGAGAGCAAATTAAGCTCAGTGATAACAGGGTAATCAAATTTGCATTTGAAAAGGGAGTAAGAGGCTAATTGGAAAAGACAGGAAACAGGGATAAATCCAAATAAATCTAGGGACAATCCTCAGGCCAGAAGCTCTTTCAACTCCATATTAATAGATATTTCCCTTATTGTGTCTTCTAATTCACTCATGGTACTGACTTTTAATTCTTATTGCTAAAGCCTATGTCATGGAAGTTTTATTTCTATCTTGGTTTTGTAGTACTCATGGTATGTTCTCAATATACAATTACTGAACAGAATTGGACTAAATGGAAAATTTAGTTTTACTCTTTAGTGAGAATATTTAACTTCAACATTTATGTGGAAATCTTTCCACTTACTTTTGCTTCCTCCTCCCTAAACTCCTGTAAAGCATTAATAAAAAAGTTTTTACTGTCAAAGAGGATAAATCTTACAAACTCATTTCAAGTATGGTGGTTCCAAATATCTTATCTGTACTTTTGCCCTTTTTGTTTTTGAAATTATCTATAATTTTGTTATATTTCACCAAGAGATGAGAAGGAAACATTAAAACAAACAAATATAGAAAAACAACTCTCCAGAACAGGATTTTCACTCCTGGAGAATTTGGTGCAAGCTAAGATTAGGAGATCATATGCCAGTTTGAACAATAACTAGCCATATAATAATAAATACATTCTTTATCTCTTTGAACCTCAGTTAACAATATCAATAAAGCTACTGGTACATGCCTGGCGCATAGATGGACCTCAACAAAGGTAAGTATCTTTCATGATTTTATTACTAAGTCTGGGAGATTTAGCTATCTCTGGGGGTTTCACATAAGCAAGCAAACTTGATCAGATAAACATTCATGGGAAAAAAATTCATCACCTAGACCTCTGCTGATGCCACTGGACTTGTTACCTCTCAGTGTCTTTCTTTTCTCTCTGTCCTTTATTACTAGCAATACTTCTGATTAAAATATATATTCTCAAATTTTCTGACTATATGATTAAGATCAATTTAATCTCTCTGAAATGATCAGTGTTTAAGAGGTCCCTGTGCATTTCCTATTCTGTGTGATGAATGATGACAATTCATTATGAACTAGATTACAAGTACATCAAGTACCATTGGCTGATTACTATAATGCTTCTAATTATGTTCATCTAATAAAGTATAAGGATGACAACAGTAAAAGCTATGCAGAGTAGATTAACCTGCTAATGTGCATTTTTTTAAAGAAAAAAATGGTAAAAGACACATTAGGAAAAAGCAAGAACTACAAAGAGCAAAACCACAAGGTTTTCTTGGATTTTCTGTTTTTATTTACAAAAATGTCACATTGTGTGATCTGCCCAACTTGGTGGGAAATTGAGTAGAAATGAAAAGTATATCTTCCACAAATGCTAAAAAGCATGGTGTTAAGAGAGGGAGGGAAAATGGAGATGAAGAGAAATAAATGGCACTTCTGATGAGTAGTTAATGGAAGTAGGAGTAACGTCTGGATACGTTGACTTTTCCCTCTTGATGGGATAAAGTAAAATAACCCAGCATTGAGCTGAAGAAGAGGCAAGGAGAGACAATGAAGATTAATATTAAAGTAAAGGAACAGCAGAGAGGTACTGGAACAGAACTAGCTAAGGGACCTGATCTACAGCTTTTAATTTCTTATAATAGAATATCCCTTGAGTCTCTTTACATTAATGGAAGTTCTATAATTTATTCAAATCAGTTATGTGTGCTGGACAGAAGCAGACAGGTTACTGGGGCCAGGGTTAGTGCTGAGAGGGAGAAGAAGGCTGGGACTGTAAGTTTCAGGAGGGC